TTGCGCGATCCACTGGGGTGAGGGCGGGAAAGACCCGGACGAGCTCGAAAAGCGGTGTAACGCTCACCGACATGCACTGGTGCAGTGCGCCAGAATGTGCGCCAACGCGCCGTCGGTGCTGGTCTGCCTAACCTTGAAGCTTGGGTACGAAGGAGGGGGGGTCGCGTCTTCCACCGACCGGGCCGATCCTGAGCGGAAAGGTCGTGGGCGGGCTGCAGGCTGCCAGAGAGTGGGGACACAGCTTATTGATTACTGCGGTAAGGGACATGGGGTGGCCTGATTGCAAAAAAATGCGATGGTGCTCCTAGGTTAAGTCATAGGCGGGGAGAAGCTTCCGGCTTCCCTCAGGATAGGGCCTAGTAGGTGCGGCGTCGAAGGACGTAGGACCTTATATTACACGGTCCGGGTCCTACCCTCAGGGCGGCAGTCGGGGTGGTTTTTAGTGGAAACACCACATACTCCTGGCTCCTGCGTCCCCCAGGAGCCGGAGGCAAAGGGATTTACCACCCCATCACGAACAACAAAAAAAACATGCCCGCGAAGGTATCTATATAAACAAATTGTAAATAATTTCTGAACCGATCTATAAGATAATTAAATGTGATGATAATAATTTCATAGATACTCGTAATTTAATGTAAGATAATTAATTTATTGAATGTCCACATAAATTATTCACCTGTTCTTTTTTACTGCTAATTATTTTTCTTCAGTAACAGTCGTCAAAGAGCAACCAAGTCTTTCATCATTGGTAAAAGTTTTGAGAGTTGAATTTGCTGAACCATAGTTGTCATTAAAAACCCTTCGTTTAAAAATTGCAATTTGAAATCTATTAAACTTTTCATGGAGTTTTTTTTCAAATATGTACTCTCTACTCGAAATCTCAAGATAGATCTATATATCAGTGAGACACGAAAATCACAGTAAGTGGTAATAAGATTTAGGTGTAATTTACCTATTATTCCGCATGTAGTTCAAGATAAATAAGTCTGATTACCATAGCCTAGTTTGAGATCAGATGGCCGTGTGTGAAATGTTTCAAGTATTGTTGTCATTCAATCCGTATTAAAACACTAAATCTAAGATTGAAACATCATCTAAAAACATGAATTTAAGAAACATCTAAATTTAGAACTAGCTAACGCTGGCAAAGGTATATGTGTTTTATATCTTCTCATGGAAGGGCGTAGGTACATCTAAGTACAAAGTATACCCTATTCGTGCTTTTAATATGGAACTTTCGACTCTCTCGTAGTGCAGAGGATATTCTGGACGCCGTAGAGCATCTTGACCTCCGGAGCCTCCATGAGCGATCGCTTCTCTGCGCCGGGAAGAGTAACCCGGTGCTAAAAGAGAAGTACATTGGCTCGAATGTATTTGTTTCTATTTTTTGTTGCGCATCTGACTCGCACTGGGTCTTGTATATTTATAGATATCAACTAGGGATCCGAATTCGTTTCCATACATTGAAATTGTAGATAAAGTTTCTAAAAATTTAATATTCAAGAAAATAATCTTACATTATGAACAGTAATAACGAGATCAGATCTTCGATCAAATCTTTGTGATACGTATAATGATTTAAAAGAATGATTTAAAATCATGCTTAGTGCAAGTCGAAATATGTCATATTTAGTCTTAACTGAAAATTGTCATTTTAAGGACACACGTATAGGCATTAACTAAGAAAAAAATTGAATTCAGTATCTGTATTTGCGGATCTAGACTCTGATAAACCGTATCTCCGTGTATACATTTTTTACGATCCGGCACATCACTAACATGAACGTGAGAGCCTTGTTGATATGCGCAAATGCGTAACATATTATTAAACGACATTATCAACAGACTCACGAAGGACATATAGTTACATAATGTGTAGGTACAAACGAGGAATCTAATAATTAAAGATACGAAACTTAAATGATTTAGCCAAAGACTTATTAACTCCAAATTACTTTTGTTGTATTCAATTAAATATTAACTAAGTTGGATGGTTTATTTGTCTTATTTTATAGAGATTAAATGTTAGGGATTTAACCTAATTTTGCTAAGCGACCGAGCGTTCCTTTATTTTCCATTACAGCGTTAATTGTCAGAAAGTTTAATTATTTCGCTACTTTAGAACCTTTTAAATATGCACGCATTATTCTCTGGTTGTTAATTTCAATGTCTAATTTAGTAAGATCACTTATTTAATGGATTTTTAAAATGTTTGTGAAAAATCATTAATTGAATCAATTAGTTTATTTTATTCAGTAATTGAAGTCGGCACAATTCGTGAAAATATAGATCCTGCCTATATCTTATATAAATTTGTACAATTATACTGATATTGAGTAGTTTCTACCTTTCTCTAAAGGTACAAAGATGATTCCTTGTTCTTTTTACTTTCAGGTCACTGTAAGAAACACAAAATAAAACAAAACCTAATATTTTTAATTACAAATCTGTAAATTGTTAGGATGATATCACTTACTGGATTCAAATAATATAGTGTTTTGCGACAAAAATATACTGCTGTGAAAAATTGTGAAATAAAAAAAACCAAACATTTTCTCTTATACAGAATCCGTAATTTGTTTTGCAGCATCAAAACTAGAGCAAAATATTGTATAAGGAGTTGCTAGACGAGTCGGTGGAACGTGTTTCATATCGGCTTTCAAATGCAGCGGTTCCAATTAAATTATGTAATCTCGTAATTAAATTCTTCCCAAAAGCATATAATGCAACATCGTATATTAATAAATTGAAATCGACTACGTATTCTCACATTTCATCGTGCTGATCGTTTCATTCGAAATTTGTTTTCGGATTACAAAATACAAATATGTCTTTACTTGGATTCAAATTGTTGTATATTGTATCAACTGTTCGTAGGTTCACGTGTTCATGTTTTCTGTGTATTACACACAACACATGAAGATTATGAGATTTCAATAGCCTAGCGTTTCGGTATGCAGCTTCTCGACGATGGTAATAGTAAAACTATAATGCTAATGAATAATATTTTTAATGCGATTATAAACTCTGAAACATAATCGGAACCAGAAGTAGAATTCAAATCGATCCCATACTTTGTCGAAGCTTAGAACACTCAAAAATTTGACGATATTTGCCAATATTTTAGGTCGGATACTATAAATATACTACACACAGTGTGTTTACTTTCATAACGTTATGAACCTTCAATTAAGGTAAGCCTTGCCTAAATATTGGATCGGTACCTTTGCTTGTTTACCCACGAATCCAATCAAACGTCATCAACGGTCCCCGTCTCGTAATACCCACCACTTCAAACTCACTAACGCAAACAATACAGACAAACAAAAGGGTGTTTTATATTAATTAACGTGAAATATCTTAGGAACATTAATATTTTGGTTTAGTGTTTAGTTTAATTTAAAGCTTGACACAGCTACCTCGTATTTTTCCTTGTCAGTTTGATCGTAAGTCCCTATACCAGAATCATATATTTTTGTTTAGTAAGTAATCGATTTCATAAGTGTTATTCAATTATTTTTTTATTTACTATTAGTATTCGCTAAATATTTTAATTTTTGAGTTTAAAAAGTTTATTTTTCCATTTTCCTGTCACTCGTTTACACATTTCGGTCTTCCTTACGCTTTATTCATGTTTGCCACTATATTCATGGTTAACAACCGATTTAAATGAAAAAATAAGTAGTGTTTACTACGAGTATATCAAACGGCATCCAATGCATTTGTGCGTTATGTCACCAAAGTGGGTCACACATTAGTAGTTTTACAATTTTCTTTTGCTCCTACTATGAGGCTTAATTTGATCGTCAGCATGTATTTAAAAAGAATAAAATATGTATTATTCTCGTACTTTTTTATCATAAAAACATTAAGTAAATTTATTATAATCAATTATTATGTATCCTAATTTTAATTTTGTAGTAAAAATACATTACGAGTGTTTCCTTTATCGAGCAAAATCAAGAGTCTTCATTTTTTTTTAAATTATGATCCTCTTTACAACTTAAATCGAAAAATAAAACGAGAATCGAATAAGGTAAAGTGCTCTTAAATATTAAAAGGTAAGTTTGTTCTTTATGCGAGCACTAACATTAAATAACAATCTTCATCTTCTGCAACTCAGAACAGTCATTTGGTTCTATAAATGAGGTAACATTTACATTTTGATAATGGTTAAACTTGTGTAAAACTTTCCAGGTAAAACCACCAACGGGCACGCCGTTATCGCGGCGGTAAGACCCGTTATGGGGGATTGGCTCGAGAGGCGTCACGGAACCCTCTCATACCGGTTGACGCAGATGATCACATCGGAAAGCATGCTTCGGGGATCGCCTGTGTCTGATCCGCAAGGAGCAAACGCCTGAGTGCCACCACTGCGGTGGCCAGCGTGGCCAGCGTGGGTGGAGCAGAGACGTGACCGTTGGGGTCCATCGGGGTGGGAGTTCTCTTGCTCGGTAACATAGTGCGGAACGAGAGTGCGTGGAAGTTCGCCGTCTCCTTCTGCGAGCAAGTTATGCTTACGAAGGAGATGGCGGATGGTGGTGAAGAGGTTTAGAACTCTCCCGGGCTCGCCAGGCTCAGGTACGGGCCAGGTACCGCAGACGACTCCGGTGCCAGAAGTTGCAGAACTATCTCCGTGACCCCGTAGCCCGGGGTCCGTCGGGTTGCCAGTGAGAGTACACGTGGATCCCCCGGCTACTGGTACCCGAGACGGCGTGCGGTTTTTTGTGGGGTCGAGTCCGACATAACCACCGTTGGGTGCTATCCTAAGGGATTTCTGCAGCCATACACTTCTATATATTTTTATATACTTTATCAGAGGCGTTCTTATTCTCACCAGCCACCACCATTGTCTTATTCTCTCTCTCTTATGGAAGTATTAATTCTTACGTAATTTCTGTACCTTACTCTGGACAACTTAAAGAATATTATGTTAACTTGTCATGTAATCCCCAAATTTTTAATTATTGAAGAATATGTTTTTTTGTAATACAGCAATGATGCGGCGCGGTTCAATGGCGATGATTGGCGGGGGGGAACCCTTGATCGTAGTGGAGGAGAGCGGGGCGGAGGATACGGACTCGTCTCCCAGGTCTTCGGCGCCGATTCGCGGTCTTTCTGTGGATACGGAGTCACCACCAGATCCATACCATCTCTCACCGTGGCGCGAAACGCGTAAACACTCGTTGCCTACACCATCCTGCACTACTGGACCTACTGCTAGCCAGGTTTGTAGCTAATTCTTTCTGAAGCTCTACTATTTAAATTAAAACCGGTTGTTCAAACAATAAAACTTAAATATTTTGAACTTTTTTCTGGGAATAAGTGTGATGCCAAGTTGAAAATAATTAGGTTTGTGACAGTTTCTCGCTAAAAAAATGAAAAAGATTTTTCTTACCTAAGTACTAATTATACAAAACTTTAGAAAGTTCACGATTTATATATGGTAATAGGTTCGTCGCCTTTCCGAGCGAGGTGAGGGTGCCGCACGAGAAGCTCGTGAGGCAGCGTTCTTGGCTACACTGAGCCAAGCACCACCGCAGCCAGGCGGTCGAAGGTAAGGAATCAACAGGCTTAACTGCTTTACAAATTGTAATAACAGATCATCAAAAGAAACAGATCATCACATGATGTCGAGTTAACTAGAAAAAGTTTTGAAACGTAAACAAAAAGACTCTTAGCTTATAATAAATTCAACAGATATTCTTACAAATAAAATTTTCGGCGTAAAACATCAATCTTACTTCAATAGTGACGGGCCTACTCCAGTCGGGTCACATAATATGCCCTATATTATTAAGTAAACGATTTGTCAGTAAGTATTTGGGATACAAGCAACCCTGGCCGTATTTATAGAATTTTAAAAGGCAATTATAAATGCTACATATATATTTTTCTTTAGTTAATGTAGATTTTAAGATTACTTATACGGCAAGTGGGACTCATCGAAATATACTTTAATTTTTTACTTTTTTTCTTTTAAAAAAGACAACTCCCGCACTAGGAATAAAACATATGTCGCGGGGGACTTTAAAAACACACATTAAACGGACATAAAGGACACCCAGACTCAGAACAACACTTTGTGTGATCCACAAATTGACAATGACACACATTGAGGGATTGTCGAATAGACTCAGCTCTGCAGCATACGCGGTTTATAAAATTTGTCAATTAACCGATGTAGAAATAGCTAGACTGGTGTATTTTAGCTATTTTCATAGTGCAATGTCATACGGTATTTTGTTGTGGGGAAATGCTGCTGACATTCAAAGTATCTTTGTGTTGCAAAAGAGAGCTATTCGTGCAATTTATAATCTCAGTTATAGGCAGTCACTGAGGGATAAGTTCAAAGAAATTGGTATCAGGACAGTCGCATCTCAATACATATATGAAAATTTAGTGTATGTAAAGAAAAATAATCATTTATTCACAAAGTTTAGCGACATTCATAAAATAAACACTAGAAATAAAGATAAACTTGTGTTACCAACCACTAGACTACAAAAAGTAAGCAAGTCTTTTCGTTGTCAGGGTGTGCGATTTTACAATAAAGTGCCAAGCAAATTCCATGAATTAAGTATTAACAAATTTAAGTCTTTAGTAAAGCTAAAACTGTGTGAAAAGGCCTACTACACTATTACAGATTATTTAGACGACAAATTTGCTTGGGATTGATGCAGTCAATTCTCGTTCTATATAAATATTCATGTCAGAGTTTTCCTAACGGATATATTACCTTAATGCTTGTTTGTGTGTACCTAGAGTGCCAGTCATCTGACATCGTATTTCATAGAATTCAGTGCAAAGTTTTATAAACAACGTTTGTTTTGCTTTACACTATTATGTGTATCTGCTTTATAGAATACTCCATCCTCAACTTTTCAGTTGATAAAGCGTGAATATCGATAGACACAGTAGACGGTTATTAAATAAAGAATGCTTTACGTAATATAATATAATTTAAGGGAAGCTCAGCTTTTTAACCCGCAGATTACGATAGGAGTTTAAATTTGATGACCATGTAGTTGTTTTTATCGGGAGCTAATTTAGGCCTTATTAGGTAAAAATTCCTTCAGACTCAAACTCAACAGATCTTTTTTTTTTAATTGTTTTAAATCGACTTATGTACACACTAAAGTCAAAGATCAACACACACAAAAAAAAATCTCTGTTTTATGAACTATTTAGCAAAAAAAATTATACCTACCGAAAATCTATTATATGCCTGTGCCGATCTACAACCACCCGTTTCCAAGGGGTTGAGCCTTATGAGAAGAAAGGGCAAGCAAACTCACGGCCACACTTTTTAAATTAACAGATGCATACAATGGCTAAAAAGGCAATGAAGAGAAAACAAGAGGAAGAAAAAAGTTAGACTAGAAATGAAAGTGAAGTAAAACATTTAAAAAAAACCACACTAGCCGACACTACATTTCCACTTAAGAAATGGACTGTGCTAAATTAATCCCAAGCATTCTTGTCTTCTATGTAATCTGCAATTAAGTAAATTTGGAAATTGAGTAAAGTTAAGCTTTAAATTTTGCGTATTTTTTTTTAAATTAAATTCGTTATACATATATAACATTTCTTGTGAATCGTTAGGTAAGTTAAGTAATGTTACATTCTAATGTTTCCCTTTTCTCTGAAAGAAAATTTGAAAATACGAGTAGGAATGTTAAGATTACAAAACGCTGATAATCTGACTGAGATGCTTGTTACAGACATTCCGTAGTGACAATATCCCGAGTGCCGCAGGCGCTGTTCGGACGGGGCCGCCGCGAATCTATCGCTGCATTCCCAGCACTCTCTCGCCGTAGGGATTCTGGGGGTAAGAAATATTTGTAGATTACTTAGTTAATCTGTAAATAACTTGTGAAATCTTTTATATTTAAATGTATTTTTTTTTTCAAATTGCGGTAGTACCAAGATCCACTAACTTTTATATTTTATAGCGACCAGAAGTGAAAAGTATCTTTAGATTCCATTTCTATACAGTATAATATTGTTTATTAATTTGGACATCGTTAGACAAGTGGCCGTAGGTTCTAAATCTCGTTCTTTGATCTTTGTTTATTGAAAAAATTTATGTGGATAAAACAACATTTAAATCTCATTTATTTAATACATACCACTACATTCCCATGTTTTAATTTCAATATTTCCTCCAACTCGGTGGAAATACTTTGTTCAACTTAAGTAATGGCTAAAACACACTCAAAGTTAAAAATATGTAGATTGTATATACATAGATGTAATCTACATATTTTTAACTTTGAGTATGTTTACTACTACTAAACCGTGTTATATGTTTATCAATAATTGTTCAGCTCCTACTTCGCATATAAAAGACAAAGCACACACTAAAATACCTGTCATCTTTCAGTGTCATTCGCAGGTCCGCCAGCAACAGACACATTGGGCAGCACCCACAACTTACAGCTTGACATAATGGATGACATAGTACAAGCGCGCAAAGTTCGCATGCGCCTTTGGAACACCTCAAATGAACGAGTCTGCGAGGTCCAGCCCATTGACCAGCGCTCACCAATGAGTGGTTCCGTTAGATACACAAACCGAGGACGCAGACATTCTGATTTCGTTGGTGCTCCATTGCCACCAATCCCAGCCCGTCGGCGAGCCTCAGAGATGCCTCCACCACCACCAATACCACCGCGTGCAAATGCCGGCGTCGTCTGTACTGATACAGATCTCCATCTTATGCTCAATGCGCTTACTTCTTCTGCTACTGAAATAGACCGTTGCGGAAAACCAGAACGAACTCGACGTCTCGCTGATATGAGGTCAAGCAGTTTTGATACCTCCACACTTAGGGAAAAACCTGCAGAGTCTGGCACCACCTGGTTTACTCGTAGGCACCAAACGTTAGAGACAAAGAAAAAAGAAAATGAACCACCAAAAAAGAACAAAGTTGCATTTGCACCAGATTCAAAACCAGCTCCTGGTGACGTTGCAGCCGTAGTCTGGGATAAACCCTCAGGATCTGTCGTGGATGCTAGTGCACTGGGTAGTGCCATAGAAGTATTTCTAAGGAAGAGTTCAGCTGTGGACCCAGTAGCGTCCACTTCTGGCACAGTTGCATCAAAAGAATTGCCAGCTAAGAGCAATGAGACTCGAGTTAAGCCAAGAGACATTCCAGGAGGAAGCCGGCCTGTGCAGCGCCCTGAAGGAGAGCGTTGGTACACCAATAGGCCAGAGGAGGAGGAAACGTCGGAGAGCTGTGACGCAACTCTCTGCACGTCACTAAAGGACCTTTTCGTGTAGGCACCACAGGTGTAATAGTTAAAATTCTTGTAAATTATTACCTTTAGTTGTCGAGTAAAGATTCGTTTCTAAAATGGAGAGTGAGAGGAGTGTATTGGCTCACGTGTTGTGGCGTACCTCCACTCATCTAATTGTACTTTATGAATCTTCTATGTGATAGATACGCGCTGACGCCGGTCGTCAAAGTCGACTCACGACCGACGTCAGTTACGCGTAAATTATTTTTAGAGTAAAATCTATTTTCATTGTAAATTTTTTGATATTAGCGATCAGAATATTGACTATTGATTGTTAGATAGAGAATTATATTCGTAATCACCGGGCGCGTGTTTTCCACGCCAAACACGGCGCTCTCCCACCGCGCGCTCGCCCCTATCCGTCTCGTTCAACAATCTGTGTCTTGTAATCCAGTGTTACCATTAAAACAATTAAAACTTTATCATATAGCAGACATTATGATGGAGACGTCGGGAGAAACGTACGCTTAATAGACGAAGGCGGCATTCTGTCGTCTTTAATCAATAAAAGTTTTTATCGATGTTAAATTGCATTTTTATTGTTTAGTTCACACCAACTTACAAATTTTAAGCAACCTTGTTTAGAAAAAAAATGGAAAAACAAATTACGTTTGATTTTTTTGACATCCTCGTTACGAGAAGTGAAAAAGTTAAGCTTTCTAGTGGAGCGATATCTGCAGAATCAAGCAACGTGGCCGAACTCTTCTAAACACAGAAGCCGGACAAAGTTATAAGTTACATCGGAACCAATTTGGCCAAGTTTATGTTCTAACTTTTTCAATTACTCGGATAAATAAGCGAACATTCCTACCGTTTACGTTGAAAAATATTAGATCTAATAAAATATGTACCGTAAATTCACCTTGCAAAACAATCTATTCAAGTCTATAATATTACTCAAATTTTGTGAACCGTGTATAAAGTGAAATACCGTTTGAAACTAACTTAGGTAAGCCTGTGTTCATAAGTAACTATCATTGATGTCGGTATGAGGACGAATGCATAAAGTTAATAAATCCTATTATCACCCTATTCGCAATATGATTTGATGATTATTTGTCGTCGGTAAATATTTAAAGTGACCTATATAGTAAACCATGAAAGTCGTACCCTTTGTGTCAACAATGCCCTGTATTCCTAAAACACACGTGAATAAAACAGTATATCTTTAATATATAAATAGGCATAAAGCTAAAGTTCTAACATTTCTACCTCACTTAGGGGAATTTTATTTATGGATGCGGGAGTTAGATGTTTTAATTTAGTGACTAAAACTGTTATGTGAATTGCCTCTGTTACAACTACCATTAACGTAAAACTTTAACAATGTATTTACTAGGACTTTCATTGTCCGTAATGGGTTATATATTTTAAATGAAAACTTAATAACACACGTTGGAACATTAAAGTTGTTTATATATGTATATCCATGGCAGTTGCTCGTGATTTGTTTCGCGTTACTTACGAAAACTTTCTTTTAACCGCTTTTAACTTTTGATACTTGCAAGAGAGGTGCGGTATATGAATATTCATTCATTATTAATATATACCCAGAATAATGATGTCACCAAATCTCATTCACATATTACATGTAATTAGTGATTTAAAAATTCTTGAAATTAGTATTCTCGTAAGAAGAAGCTCGAAAGAAGATTTCTAATTATATTAGAGCCCTTTAAGATAAGACTTTCCTGTCGAAAACCGTGGTTAACTAGCATTATTATCACAACTTCTAAATCATTTCTGTAAGAGAAAAAAGCTGCTGACAGCTTTGTTCCCGGTAAGCTCGAGAGCTCACGTAAAATGTTAATGAGATAGAAATAGGCTTGACAACAAGTGAATAAAATCAGAGAGAGCGTGGAAAGATATCGCTTACAAAGCCCTTTCATACAATTAGAATCTTCCAATAGTATCGTTAATCGCATACTTTAAACAACAACACTTTTTGTTGAATCCTTAGAATTCTACACAGGCGTTAAGAAAAAACAAAAAGAGAGTCGGTTACTAATTACCTACCTGAATATGTAAAATATATGAGTATACGACTGGAGACAATACTGAACGCTGATAACACCAAATTCTAATGCTAGGCTAAGATTAATTTATTCGAGTTATAAGACAAGGTGGCATGCTTCATAAAACTGCATTTCTACGGAGAACTGGCGTACGGTGATATAATTTACGATACCTGAAGTGCAGCGCCGCGCCGCTATGAAGACTGAGGGACAAATGTCTGTCTTTGAGAGGTAAGTACTACACTGCATCGTAACAGTGTCTTACACTGTATTTTTATAACTTTGCTGCAGGGTACCTACCGGTGCGCATATGGATATAATGATACTATCTATCTGTTATTTAAAATTTAAATTCTCTATAAAAATTGATCTATGAAATCGATCGAACGATCGAAATTCTCTGGTGCTCTCTCTCTGCCGACTTATTTCTTTATAAAATCGCATTAACCTTTATTTTTAAATAATATGGGTAAATTATGTACCTACCTATAATATATAACACCTGGTTAAAAATAACCAAAAAACTCTTGCACACGTACTTGTAAAACATTACGTTAATATCCCCTCTAGTGAATAATTCAAGTGTCAATGATAACGTGAAAAGAATGTTGCAAGCTCTATAGTAATCCACTCAACTGTCGTCTTGACATTTTCATAGCTTTGCATTTAAAGTCGAAAAGAAATTTCATTATTATCATTTCAATGTTAAGTATAACATTATCTATTATGAAGCACAGTCATTTTTTTGTGATTTTACAAAGAGTATATGTGTACTTTTATGGTTCAGAAAAAATGTTTTTTAAAGAAACTTTTGTAAATATTTTGTATCTGGAATAAACTACATCAAGCAAACACATTAAAACATACACAATATATGAGAGTTAAGTCTTATTGAGAGTTAAGTTATAAACATATATGAGAGTTAAGTCAAGATATAATTCAAACATACGGCAACACAGAAATTAATTTGAGTCTAAGAATATTATTTATGAGATACATTCGAACACATTCTTATGCTTTTACATTTATAATATAGACAATTTCTCATACTTGATGTAGACTAATTTCCTTGGTATAATTAAACGATTTGACACAGTTCGTGGAGGGATCTAGTAGCTCGTGAAGTGCATGGAGGAACACAATTAATTCTCAAAACTGAGTTGACATTCAAATTAGCTTCCAAATGGCCCTCTTTATACAATTAACAACGTGCCCATTCTGTTAGAAGCGGCGCTCTTCATTTGTCAGTGGGTGAAATATTTTACTGCAAATTCCAACTAAGTTTATGAAATTTTGACATATTTTATAACATCGTAAATGTGGAAATCAGTTATGGAATTTATAATTTACATTTAAAAAAATAACAAAAATATAATTTATAATGCAAAAGAAGTTTAAACGCACAACGAAAATATTAACAAAGTAGCTTACTATCTTTGGTTAACTTTCAGACCTGATGCCTATAATTGAGGAAATAATCAGAAATGAATTGCAGTGTAAATATCCTAAACTTGTAATTTAAAACAATGATATCCCTGACATAGGATGTCAACCGATGAATATAACGAGCGACGATATATGATGGAGCGACGTAGTCATCATTGTGGCTAAGCTCCTTAAATAAAGATAAAAAAAATATATAACGAGCAATCGTGAATAGTGAGTAGCCATATTGTCTACTGTGATCTTCTACTGTAACCATCTAATTTTAATATCTTTTGTCAGTAATTTTTTGACGTCAGTAGTTGTTACGTGAAAATCTTTTTGTATTTGATTATTTTAAGACTAAGGTTGTACTACTTTTTAAAAGGTAGTAAAATGTATTACTGCTTTATATAAACTATAGTTTTTACAATGTATTATTAACATGAGCAAGAATTAGTATCAAAAATAAAAAATATGTCATGAACAAGAAACCAAATATGTACATCGAAAATGTTATACGCCCGCAGAATTTAAGTATCATATCTTCTGGGAATTTCATTCAGCAGTGGACGTATTATTGAAAAGGGTAAAGATATATTTATAATGTTATTAAGAATACCACTGCGGTTCGTACTTGACCTTTCCCGTCTATAATAAAATAGGTTTCGATTTTTTCTGTTTAATGTAAGAAATAACTTATGTGAGAGTGCTACTCTGAACTTAACTGAGGATCAGAAGATGATACACAAATATTTAGCAGCATATATCATAGTTACTCTAAGCACAGGGTTAAGAAAAGATTTTCTTTTTGTTATCTTAATTAAATCGTCTATTGGAAAGGAATTACTCATGGGTATTCACTTTGCCGATAATTTTATACGTATGAGTAACAAGAAGGGTGCAATGGTGGGTAAAGCCACCGATAACAACATACCGAGGTAATTGTTTAAAGTTAATCTATACCTGAAAATTTATAGTTACTTAATTAATTTGGTAGTTATATAATTTGGTCCTACGCACGTAACAAAGAACAAGCTTCTTACCGTCAACCGGGTACTTTGGAAATTAAAGATCGAAAAATTGGGAGTCTAGTGTAAGCCAAAGGTAGGTAATTAAACATAATTGAAGGAAAGGAATATTGCTTATACGGATAAACTGGAGAGTACAAGCAACTCGAGCAGGTCTGTAAACATGTATAGCAACTAGCTTATGCCTACGACTTCGTACGCGTGGTGGTCGACATCAGGCATCAACAATCATCAACAATGATAGAGTTTTTATAAATCCTTTCTTAGTGCATACCTACGTCACCTAAGGAACATTTGTGCAATATTTTATGCTTCCAGACCCAGCAGCGGTTTCAGCTATGCGTTGATCGATCATTCAGTGTATCAGTATTTATAGCTGAAACCGCTATATATATATATATATATAGAGCAATAGGTATAATAACTAAACTAAACATGACTCTCACAATTCATCGACTCGACAAAATAGTGCACGCTATTATATTCCCATTAACATACTATTCCCATTAACATGC